TCGGTCGTTCATATTGTTCATATATACCTTTGTATATATACATATATATACTCGTATTCGTAGAATCAACAAACCAAAGTTGTCTCCATGGAACCTTTTTCTCTCTCACTCGTTCAGTATTTGTATGGAAAAAATATTTATATTTACACGCAACTCGTAGATATACATATATTTTTTATATCTTTGTTTGTGTATAAAAAAAAAAAGAAAAAATAAGAGAAAAAAGGGGGACGGCTGGCTGGTAGAGAATTTTTCACTCTTATTGCTTTTCGAAGCTTTTCCATGGTTCACATTTCATTTATTTTCACTGTGTTCACTTCACAACTTAATACACTTTATTATTGAAAATATTTTTTATTACAAGTGTGTGGGACGACGACTGGCTCTGATCGTTGAGAGGAAAAGAAGGCTTCCTGGAATTTTTGGTTTTATATACTCTATATTTTTTTCTGATGGTGGCCCTGACACGCAGCTCTCATAGTTGTTTGGGGCATTGATTTGCTGCACTCGTTTCCACGAAATACAAATATAAATACGAAACCGAAAAACACTCTTTCTTTTTTTTGTACATGAATAAACCGAACAGTAACCTCCCCCCATAACGTGGTATATTTTATATTATACATATATATATAATATATATATATATAAATATATGTATTTTTTACCAGACTTTTGCTCCCCCTCTCTCTGATTTTGATATTCATGTTGCATGTTGCTGACTTTTGAAGTTTTTCCTTTTTTCGGCAATTGGAACTTTTTCCTTTGCCTCAAGTGGGTGGAAATATAAAAAAAAAATACAAAACATAAAAAACAATTTGAATAGCTCTCTTTGCATTGTTTACTTTAATTTACATTTTATTTTTTCAATTCGTTTTTCGGTTTTCGGTCGTATGCAAATTCTGTGTCGCTCTGAGAGCTTCTTTTTAATGAACTAATTTTGCGGCATCGTCCGATTATTTATGTATTTCTCGCTTACTCTCGCCTCGCTGAATTCAATTAGGCGTGTGCCACATCCCTTCTGCCCTGCCCCTCTCCCTTCCTCATGTTTATTTATGCCCCGAACTGTTGCCTCATTTGCAAAAAGTTCCCCAAACGCAAAAGATTTTTCTGTATGTGTCAGTTTGATAAATGATATCAATTTCTTATAGACACCACACACACACTCCCTTGTTTTGGTAGGCTTCGAAAAAGTTTTTGTTTTAGAATGTGTTTCTCTGTTTCTTCAAGTCTCAAGTCCACTTTTGCCAATTTGACACTTTTAGCGATGCGCGTGTGCCATGGAAGTTGAATTTCAAATGTTCTCAAGGTTTGCTCTGACAGTTGAGTGCATGAATTTTTAATACCAAACGAGGCAATCTCTTAGGACACACCGTCGTTCTCTCTGTTTTTCCATTTCTTCTTGCCAATATATGCTAATCGGCCGAGAGAGTTGTATTTCGGAGCGGAAAACTTTTTGCCAAGATTTGACTAAGTAAATTATACAAAATGCGGTGGTAGAAGCTACCCCAAGAAAACAGGTTAATAAGCCTGGAATATTATGTCAAATGAGATAATAATCAAATGTATAAGTAATTAACTTGTTTGGGAATATTAAAGTCATGAAAAAGTATGAAATATTAAAGGGTTACTTATGAAAATAATTATGGTAAAAGGAGTTCAGGAAAAGTCTTGTTTATATAGAAAAATTCATACATTTTATAGTATTTTTATAATTCTTTAAGAAGCAACAGGTTCTTTTAGGAACTTCCCCAAAAAATCCATAACCTGACCTGCTCTTTTTTGGCAGAAATCAATTTGTTGTGGCAATATTTTAAGACTAGCAACCATATATCATGCCAGACTTATGTTTGACTCTCTTTCCCTCCCAAAAAAAAAAATAAAAACAAACAAAATATCTCTGCAATAATTTAAAATGCCAACGAACATTCATAACGAGCATACAATTAACACAAATTTTCCCCTTCCTCCTACCGGCTGGCCGGCAGCTATTAGCCCAGAAAAAACATAGACACACACACAACACATTAGCCGAGAAATAGCCTCAAACTCAGACGGCGAGATACAGATACATTTAAGAGACCCACCAAGTAGCCAGATACAAGATACAAAGCGGCGACAGACGGACGACAAAAAAGGCCGCGAGGCAAACAGTTCCCAGATCCCAATGTAAATGACATAGGAATAAAAATATTCATAGAAGGAGGGAGAGGGAGTGCACTCTAAATAAATTTTAAAATTTATAAAAATATTAAATTAGGATAAATTTATATTTACAAATTTAAGTATTTAGAAAGAGGTATAAAGTAAGTTTTCATATGTTTCAAGTAGGTTATGGCATAGATTTATATTATATATAATAAATACATTAGTTTTAGTCTTTAATTTTTATGATTATTATATTTTCATTAATTAGAAAGGATTATTAATTATTTACGGATTTTATTATCTCTTGTTTTTATGATTTATATATTATCAACACTATGAACTCAGACCCCAAGTGGGTAATATAACCCAAGTTTAGGTCCCTTTTCCCGCAGTGTATTGAACTGGAAAAACTTTCGTCCACTAATCTATAATGCTGTCAGGCATTAAACAACTAAAAAACCAAATTTGTAACTCATTAAACAAAGGCCAGAGAAAGGGAAAAAATATAAAACAGAAATGAAAAATGAAATGAAACGAAACTAGCCAAAGTGAAATGACTGATAAATGCCACTCGAGTCGCCGGCTGTCTCATTTGGACTGCCAAATAATATTTAATTATAAACAAATAAACGAGAGGGGAGAGAGAGCACAGAAAGAGCCCTCGGGGTTAGACACGTCTCGTAAAAGGTGCCGAGTGATTAATTATTATGTCAGGGAATTAAATCAAATATTTGAGTTGACACAGCGAACGGAACGATGCAAGTCTTATCTGTCTGTTCGAAATCACGAAATGCAAATAAAAATGACTTTAAGGAAAGAGGCTTCTTTCTTTCTTTCTTTCTGCATGAAAAATTGAAAAGCCAACACACAGGCCGCGGCCAAAAAGATAACATAATCCCATAGCCGAAACCATGAGGTACCTACCTTCTTTTCTTTTCTTTTCTTACTTACTTTTTGGTACGATTTCAGTTTTGTTTTTATTTCGATTTTGGAAGACCGAGGAAAACATTAGCATATATCAATGCCAAATGCAAATAAATCATCAATAACATTTCTCTGCCACTTATGCACCACTTACAGATACTTATGCCACAAGACGAACCGATACCTGAAGAACTTCTACTTCTACTTCTACTTCTACTTCTACTCCCGCTGCAGCTGCATGCATTTTCCCCTGAGGGAAAATCCCCTTTCCGAACAAGAACAAGAGCAAAAAGAAAAATAGAAAAGAAAGAAAAGGCTGAATAAACGTCTGTCTAACTAAGGCGCCTTGCATAAATTTACGCCGTGGAGGATAAGCCCAAAAGACATGCAGGAGGAGCTATTGGAACAAAACCCAGCGACGAGAGAAATGGAAAGGCAAACATAAAGCAATTTTATGCGTTTTTAAAATGCGGCAATTGACTGAAACAACACACTGGAAAATTCGAGGGAATCGCATGTGAGCACGTTTCGCCTTTTCCGAAGGGTAAATCAAATACGAAAAAGGAAGCAACTCCTCCAACCAACCTCAATGCCATATCTCAGACGCCTGATAAGCAATATAACGCAAATGCTTGATGGTTTGTTGACGACCAACAAAAAGTTCTTGAGAGCGTGTGTAAACATTGGCTTGAAAACTGAGTACTCAAAGGAGGAAAACGCAAGGACAGCGAAGGATCTCCTTTCCAACGGCAGTTACAAATTGTAGCCACAGCTGTGCGTGTGTGCTCCTTCTCTAAACCATTTATAAATGTAACAAAAAGCAAGAAAACAAAAAACAAAAAAACAGTGAAAAAGCCCTTGGCACAAGTGCAATGCATAAATATAAACACATACAAAGAGATACAAAAAACAAAACTGAAGATGAGCGAAAATAAAGCCAAGCTAAAGGTGTTGCCAAAAATAAATACAAAAACAACAACGTACGCGTTTATAAATCGATAATTTAAAGCTATGAAAGAGGGATAAACACAGGCCTCTGTCATAAAAAATAAGAAATAAAATCACACCGTCGCGCTTAAGTGCTAAAAGTGCAATTTCAGCAATTGTATCTGCGAGATACATTAGCCTGGATACACCGAGGAGTGCCGCGCGATACTCGCTTAATGACAATTTGACACAGGCAAAATACATGAAATTGAGCAATTTATATGCCAAATGTGTAATTTGAGATACGTTTTTTCGTAGCCAAGACCCGAGATGAGCAGATGTTGGGTTTGAAAGAACTTTAATTGCAGCCAGTTGGTGGATAGTCTGTATGTTGCAACATTGAGATACAATGCGTACTCATGAGATACTTTTCTGTGTGTGTGTGTGAGTGCTGTGCGTGTGTGTGTGTGTTTTTGCAATAAACTTGCAAAGAACATTAATTGCAACTGCTACTAACTGATGCCAGATGGTTATGTGTATCTGTGAGATGCATCTGAAAAGGTGCAGCTCTATAAGATACAAAACAAAAACATTAAAACAAGCTGAAAAGGCTACAAAACTATCAAATGCAATACATATGCATTAATTAAATCTATTAAAATAAATCCAAAGGTATCCATTAAATGAATTGGATCAACAAAAAACCCTTAGTGCTATTAAACTTATTTATAAAAATCCAACTAAATAACAAAATAAATGAGAGATACAGTGAAATAAATGTGAAAAACAGTGAACAAAAACTACAAAGAACAGTGTGAAAAAGAAAGGCAACAGTGATACTTATTTGCGTTGCCATAAAAAATAATAATTAATAATTTATGACCAATGAACAAATATTTCTTTTCTCTACTCTTCTCTTTTTTTTGCCTGCTGCAAATCCAATTTAACCAAAAGCCAATTCATTAGTTAAACCAAAACAATCCCCCTAAACTGCTTTACAGAGCATCATCCACAATTAGCGCCATTGGAGCCAAGGAGCCAAGTTGCAACCAATGGAACATGTTGATGCCAGTGCGGGAGTACAACAAGCACATAGCAAAAATACCAAATTGCAAGATGAGGCAACGGTCAGTGCTTAGACCAGGATTCGTCTGGATGTGCACACTTCCGCTCCTGATTCTGCTGCTGCTCTTGGTGTTGCCCAGGCTCTGGATCCGGCGGCCAGTGGAGCCAGTGGGAGTTCAGGAAACATCGGCGGAGGAGGAGGAGGAGGTGGTGGTGGTGGCGCCGCTTCAACTGCCGGCGGAAATGGCGGTGCAAGTGGTGGCAGCCTGAGCAGTGGTGGCCCACCCACACTCATTGCCAATCTCACGGAACAGGGTAGTCCCGGTGTGTATAACAATCGACAATGGGTTATAATGCTAATTACATGTATATATAATATACATATATATGTCATTTATGTGGCCATTGTAGGTGACCTTTGTAACTTTTATAACCCCCATAACGAAAACGATGCCGCCATTTTGGCATTTTGTAAGCAGGTTTATGCCAGGAAAATATAAAGAAAACGTATTACCATACATATTTCATAAATCTATATAATATTTCTCTAAAGTTTAAAATTAAACAGCTTTAGAGGGAATAAGACTCACATTAAATCGAAGCTTCTGCCAATTTTTCCTTTAAATACTTCTTTGATGCTGCAAATTAAACAAACTTCCTATAAAAAATCCACTTTAGTTCCAAATTTATAGTAAAATATAAAAGGAACTTTAACCTCAATAAATGTGACCAAGTTAAGGCAACCTTATCCTTTGTGTTTTTCACGAACTCGGTCACACTTGGCTTGGCTAAATTCACAAGCAAGTGTAAACATGAAATGTGTTTGTGCCCCAATATTTGTGTGTGTTTCCTTGTGCGCATTTCCGGTTTCCGCTTCCGCTGGCTTGCTCCCTTGCCAAGCGGGTGGCAAAAACTATTAGCCACTTGGCGCTAAAAAACCACGCCCACAACCCACTAGCCCATAGCCACCCAATTCCACCCTTGCCACTCTAAGGCAAAACACTAAGCATCAATTAACCCAATTTTCAGAATCCATTTTCACCTGCAGTTACGTCGGCAGGAGCTTTTGGCTTTTTCCACAGTATTTTTCTAGCTGCGTGTTTGCAGTACCCTTTTCTACATATGTATGCATGTTGTTTTTCCTGAGTTTTCCTTTACCTTTGTTGCACAAGCAAATGCCCAAGTGACGGTGTCGAAACCCCAAGTTCCAAATTCCCAAATTTCCCCACCTAATCCCATCCTGGCCACTCTTGTCCAGACTTTTCTTTCCACAATTTCATTCGCAGGCGTTGGCTCAATTGTTGTAGTTTGGTTTGGTTTTTGGATCAGGATCTGGAGAAGTCGTCGCAGGATTGGAAGCTGCAAATAATAATTAATCCATTGATTTTGCAAATATTTTTTTCTGCAGCTTTAATAATTCAACCTTAATAAATATGCATTCCTTTCGCAGCATTTAACAATGAATATTTAAACAAACGGAACGTTTTTTTTCCAGCCAATGTAGATTTTTTTCCGTATTTACTTTTGTAATAGTTTTGCCTTTTTGGATCCAATTACAAATTGATGAGCAGGTAATGAACACAACAAACAAAGGACAATAATATATACAAAAAATATTAAAAACAATAATTTTAATTTGGAATTGTTGCTTTTGATTTTCATGTAATTTCATAAATAATTCATTCGAAGTCATTCAACATTTATGCATAATTCCATCTTGCTTTGTTCTAACTGTCGCTATTAATCAAATTATCCGTATACTACCTGCATTTTTAACGGTCTGGTTTTTCTCTTCCACTCTTTTTTTTTTATTTTTTTACTATTTTTTTTTGTTCTTGTTGTTTGTCATAACATTTATGCAGCCGTCTGGAAATTCGGTGTGACAGAGCAGAGAGAGCAGCGATGGCCATAAACTACTGCAGAATGCGGGTGGCCATAAGAACTGACGCTTGATTGATTTCTCCCAGCCACGAGGAACACCTGGAACTCCAAATGCCAGATGTCGGGGATAATAAATTCAAGTGACAACACTCGAGAGATACACATACATTGTGTATTTGCTAGAAGTTTAAAAAATCGTTGGAGAAAGGAGTTTGCAGGTCCAGTTTAGAGTTTAGAAATAAGTTTTATACATAGGTTCTTAACTAGAAATCAAATACAAATTGTAATAAATGGTAGGCCATTTATATTTTTAGTTTAGTTATACCTTTTACCTTTTGTAATTCATAAAATAACAAGGAATTAGTTATAAGAATAAATATAAATGGTATAGCCATTTATATGTTAATTTTAGTTAGACCTTTAAAAAACATTATATTTTACAAGATAAGAAAATTGTAATTCCCAAAATAACAGGGAATTACCTTTTTAAGATTCTTAATTCGTAAATTATGCTGTATACTTAAAGTATATTGTATATTATACAGTCTCGAATAATAATAAGAATCTTAAATTGTAAAGTATACAGTACACTTAGAGTACACTGTATGTTAAATAATCTTGAATAACAATTAAAATAAAATAACAGGGAATTACCTCTTTAAGAATCTTAAATTGTAAAGTGTGCAGTACACTAAAAGTATAATGTATATTAAGTATTGTCGAATAAGAATTAAATAATGTGAATAGAATGTGGACATGGTTTTCTGAAATTACCAAACTTCACCATTCTTTCACTTGTATTTTATATGAATTCATTTATTCTTTGTTTTAGATGTTACATTTTTATTGTAAACAATTTAAATTGTAAGAAATCTGTCCCATGAACTGTAAAAATATGTATTGAAATATTTAAAACTTTTATAGAACATTTCAAAACATATTAATTAGATTTAAATACTCCCTAAAAGACTGTAAAATCCTTTACCTCATTAAAACCCCACAACTTTGTTAACTAACCTTAAGATCTGTAAATAAAAGCAAACTAATTTATAAAAAACAAACCATGAAATGTCTTGATGGTGTGTCATCCTTTTTTTTTTCGTTTTGTTATGTTGGTTTCATTTTCATGTTGAACTGTCGATCAGGCCAAAAACTCCTCGGCAGGGGACGCAGGAAGTTGTCTTAACCTGTCCATAAAGATGGCACTCCTCGGCCTACACGATTGCCGTTAAGAACTGGTTTTAATCTGAGACTCTTGAACCTCTTCTGTACCCCTTGTGGTTCTTTCAGTTCGCCGTGAGATACGTACTTTATGCATTTTCTGACTGCATCTTGATAGGCCGAAGACGACGGACCCAGGCTGCACCGAAAAAGATTGACTTCGGGCCGAGTGTTGATAAGACGAAGCCACAAACGGCCGATAAAGTCAATCAATCAGCTGGGAGACAGCCGCGGCTCAAAGCGGACTTAATTATCTGTTTTAGATAAAGCCAAGGCCAAAAATAGCCATGGTTAGTAAGTGATGTTATGTTAAATATCCCCACAACAAAAAGCGGCCATTTAATATGCCAATTGTGTGTGGCGAACAATGCCACCATACTTGGTCTATAGATGGTCTCCATATTTAGGTAGCTTTTAGAGATGCTCGAACAAGACTTTGAATGGTTTTTATTATTATTATTATTGTTAGTTTAAACAAACGTTTTTTGGACAGAAGAACCCACCTACGTTGAGGAGAAGATCTTTTGGAAATACCTGCGATTCATTCAAAGAAAATATCAATTGATTTTTTATTGATTTGCTTTGTATTACTGACAATGGAGGGGTTTGTATAAGAAGTAAGTTAGCATATAATAAAATATACATAGTTTATAAGACTTTTGTTTAATATTTATTGCAAGTATTTCTTTGATTAATATATATATCATATATTAATTTTTAGTTATTATTTGTAATTTAGTATGTAATATAATAATAATATATAATAACAAAATAATATAATAAAAAACTATAAAATAAATAAATATAATAAAATATACATAGTTTATAAGACTTTTGCTTAATATTTATTGCAAGTATTTCTTTGATTAATATACATATCATATATTCATTTGTAGTTATTATTTTGTAGTTTAGTATGCATTATATTATTAGTCTAAGTATTGTAATTTGTTATTATTAGTATAATTAGTATTCTAACAAATTTATAATAATCACATTACTTCACCTTCTTTGAACTAACATAACTCATCTTTAAATGTCAAATCTATTCGTAGTTCCATAAAAACCAATATTTACTTAATTCCCCTGCTGTAGACAAGCTTTGGTGCAATCACAATCTTCGCACATAGTTTTTGTGAAAGAATTTTTCTTTAAATTTCATTTTGTTAAATTGCCTCTAAAATTATGTGCCGAACAATTTGCCAATCCAATTCCTTCCCTTCTGCCCCGCAAAACCTAGGAGGTGGAGGAAAACCCAAGAGGAAAACTTGTCGATTGCCAGGCGGCGGGACCCGAAATAAAACTTTCACATAATGGCTTCGAAAGTTGCACACTTTGGTGCAGAATTGAACTCACCTTTTTGTGCTTTTGGGCCAGGCCCAAACCGAAACTTGTTCTGTTCCTTCGCTCGCTCGCTCGTCTGCCAAACAAATAGTTGGCCATAAGAAGTTGTTCAAATATTTATTTACTTTTTCAAGTTGCGAACATATTTCTTTTTATTTTTGTACCCCAAGTGTGTGTGTGTTTGCCTGGTTTGCTCCAATGTTTATGTATAATTCCCTGGGCCAAGTTACCGGCAGCTGCTGCCACTTTTAGCACTTCTTCTTCTGGCCAGAAGAAAAAAGAAAAGACTAATAACAAATCTTTTCATTAGTTGCCTTAGACAAGTTAGTTAAAAAGTGCACTTTACGCAAACAAATGCGTGTCTATAAAAAAGGAAAATTCAACTAAGAACCAGAAACCAAAATGAAATATAAATTTAATAGCAAAAAAAAGAGAAGAAAATCACCTAAGCCAATAACCAGGAGGAGTAGGAAAGAACTTCGCATGAAAGGTGCAAAAGTTTTTCCAGAGCTACTACTGAGCATAATGAAAGCATAACATTTAGTTAGCACTTGTGTATTTGCTATATAAACTGAGAGGGGAAGTCCCCTTCTCAGCCTCAGCTGGGATAGACAAAACAACTTTTCGTTAATAACTCAAAAATGTTTTGTCTTCAAAAAGTTCGCATATAAACACACACAGACACTTTTTGGGTTCTGGCACAGGAAAACTTTTATACTTGTTTTACTGAAAACAAATCAAAGGAGTTTCCGACAAAGTTACTCTTGTATTTTTCCCCTTTTTCCTTAAATTTTTTTCTCCTCTCGTTTTTTGATGACTCTGAGTGGAACAGACTGTGACAAACAATGACAACGGCAATGAGCAAAGCCCAGCCCATGACAATGGCAATTAAAGCTATAGCTACAGCTACAGCTACAGGAATCGGTCCAAAGTTTGCCCATAAAAACAAAAAAAACAAGCATGGAAAACAACTATGGCAAATGGGTAAAAACTCTGGTAATAAAGGAAAATTATGATGATTTTCTATTTGGCAGAACAGAATCGTTTCAAAGCATTTGGCGCGAAAACAAAGGACCATAAAACCGGGTCGCATCCTGACCAGAAAGGAAGCGAGTGGAAAAGAAATTAAATGACAGGAAAATGTATATATAGAGAGAGTATATATAAGTATTAAGCGATAACATTGTTGTTTTATCCCCGGGA